CCCGGGCGGGGCTCGGCTGCGGCGCCGCGAGGGTCCGCTGGGCGGAGGCTCCCGAAGCGTCGCTGGCTTTTCCGTTCAGTGGAGAAAAGACTCAGAGTGTCCCCGTTCTCCGTCTGGTTGGCTTTTCTGCCGAGGGCATCGAACTGCGAGTTTGCGGGAACAGCGGAGACAAAAGGAGGTGGTGCAAGAACGCAAACTAATTCGCGGAGATGCGATCCTAGCCTGTATTTTGGAACCGGCAGGTTGTTCCTGAGATCCCGGCCCGACCGCTGCCTGGATCTCAAGGATGGGAGGCCCTTTTTCTAACGTAGAAACGTGCCGTTTTGTCTGAAGTGGTGAATGGGGGGTGGACGAGGAAAATGGGAATCTTCCCTGTTGCTTTTGGCTCTTGTTCTGCCCCAGTAGTTTTACTGTAATTTGACGCCAGAAAATTTCCCATTATGAAGAATCTGAGACCAGTTGAAACTGGTGGGCAGATCTTCAGGTCATGGGAGCTGACCAACAGGGAAATAGGTGAAATCGTCAAGAATTGTCTTTGAGGCCATTTGATTTATCTTCGTGGTTTTCTGTAAACACTGGCTCTGTTTGGTTAATGATTTGGTCTGACGCTTAACATTTTCTTAAATTACTGGTCGTGTTTTAAAGGAGAACATATCAGCCGTGGGGTGTGATGATGGGGCAGGGGGTTGGCAGGTTGTGAACATTTAGAAGAATGCCTGCTTTCTTCTCCACTCCCACTCACGTTGAGAATGCTGAAGGTTTTTTTTTTTTTAAAGAAACTATGAAATATTTTGTTAAGATGCCCACAACTGGGCAACCTGAGTAAAGTAATGATGTTTGTGGTTGTCGTGTAGAATATTAAAACTTAATGCCTCTCTGAGGTCTGCATTTGTATGGCAGCATGTTAAGTTGCTTTTTTCTTTGAGGCAGTCTGGCTGAGGAAGAAAACATGTAGGGCTTTACTGTGGCCTGTGCCCAATTTGGCCTGAAGTCTTCAAAGTTCGTTTTACAGATCAGGTGCACGTCTCATCTTCACTTTCTTAAAAGCAGCAGGTAGGGTCCCTGATAGGCTTAGAAATAACTTCTGTCCCTGGTTCATTCCGTAAATATTTGCGTGCCTGCTCTGTGCCAGTCACTGTGGTTGGGACACATAATGTTGCCAAACTGTGGCACTAACAATGCTAGTCTATTTTCTGGCGAGAAGAACCTAAGGGTCACGTGGGAGGGGAGGAAGAGGAAGAGAGAGGCAACCTGTTCTGGAGCAAGAGCTGGCCCTGTGTAAGTTTTGAAATCTGTGGTTTGTCTTTGGGGCTTGGTTCCCTCAGGCACATCAGATCTCTGGCTGTAACTTTAGATTCTTGCCTCCGAAGTGTTCCCAGTACTTAAACTCCGTTTTGCTTGACTGTCACCCCCACAGCCCCATCTTTAAGGAAGTTCGTCTTGCTTCCAAACAGGACGGGGTAGTCCTGTTGTCCTCTCATGAAGTAGCACTGTAAGATTAAAAACTCTGAGTCAGACTTGTGATGTGTGGATATTGTGTCACACGGGCTGAGTAATTTGGCCGTTTAGCTTCAGTTTCTTCACCTGGAAAATGGAATGACAGTGTATTTACCACTTAGGGTTTTGAGAGGTTTAAATGGTTCTTGTTTGTTGAGGGTACTGGGGCTTGAAATCAAGGCCTCATACTGACCTGTATCTGCTCATCCCCCTTTATTCTTTATTTTTAGACAAGGTTTTTACTAAGGTGCCCCAGGTAGAACTTGAATTTATGATCCTCCTGCTTCAGCTTCCCAAAGTACTGGGATTACAGTGGCTCCAAACGTGGTTCCTGAATTCTTAGAAGAGTAGTCATGTTAATTTAAAAGAATCTCCAAATTGGTGGGATTTGGGATGTTACAACAAAATGAACACATTTGTGGAGCCATGCATGAAGACTGTGTGAGGTCAGTTTTTCTGAGTTCTGTCTTGTCTTCCTCTCCTTGATTCCATAGGGTGTCATTTCTATTTGACCCAGACTTTCTTCTTTAATTTAGACGGTGGGATCCTGCAGATCGTTTGAGCCTGGCTTCATACCAAGGGGTCTGCAGCATATGCTCTTTCAACCCAGTAAATACTGAGTAAAATCCCACTGTGTGCCAGGCACCAGTCAGGGCTCTGGCAGGGAGAAGGTGACAGGAGCAGTGAATAAAACTGCTTTTTAAATAAAATCCCTGTCTTTCTGAAGCTGTCATTCTAATGGGTACTATTTATAAATTAGTCTACCCATACATTGTTTCTAAGTGATTGTTTATGTGAAATCGAAGAGGTTCTTCTGCTTGTGCAGTAGAAACCTATGAATATATTTTGAAAATAATATGGTAGAAATTTACTAAAATTACTCATGTTTAAGAGAAAATGATTTAAAATGGTAATATATGGGGGTACTTTACAATCTTGATTTAGTAAATTTTAATTTTGTATATTTTTAGAAAAAAATTGTATTATAACCTTTACATTCAACTGAAGAGAATTTTGACATGTTTATTGAGGCCTTCATGTATATTGACATACCAAAGTGATATTCATACTACACACACACATACACACACACACACACACACACACCCCCAGAAGTTAGGAGACACGGTTCCCGACTCAAAACCAACCATAGCCCATAGATCTGAAATTCATGGAAATTCATTTTGAGAGTGAGGCATAGAAATGAACATAAAGACAAAAAAATACAAGAGCTGGCTTTGTTTTCCTAGAACTTAACATAATGGCTTATTTTACATTTATCGCTTCATTTGTAAAATACAAACCTTTCTTATTTTTCAGTGGAACTCTCAGACATTTATGCATTACAAAGTCAGGTATGTATGAATTAATAAGATTATTCTCTTTTTTTCTTTTTGCTTTGGTGATGGTAGTGAGGGTTGAACACAGGGCCTTAGGCAAGTGCTCCATCACTGAACTATATCCCCACCTTGTCCTTTACTGTTAAAAGACAAATTACAATTTTTTTCTTAGATGTTTTGGTAATTTAAAAGTACATTTTGGAAAGAGTTACACTTCTCCCTTATAAAATACTTGATAAACGAGTGTTCTACTTTGGAAAAAACAGAGTTTTAAGAAGTGAGTCTTATGGTTATGCATAGATGATAGTTCCTTTCTTACTATAGTACTTACTGAAACAAGCTTACAAATAGGAATAAAATATTTAATACCTTTGCAGAGCTGAACAGCGAGTGTCACTGGGGAGCAGACACTGTAAATGTGCTTTATGTGTGTGCACACTAACTTTTTGTTTGAGCCTGGACTGGGGGTTGGGAGAGGAGAAAGCCCATGTTGGTGATGTAATTATGTATGCAGATGTGCTGATGGGAAGAATTCAGTATCAGCCACCTTTTGCCTTGCTTAGAAATTTTCAGAATTGGGTATTACAGCCTAAGAGAACAATTTTACAAAATGATAAACCCTTTTTCCAATATCTTGCTGACTATAAGCATGCAATAAAATTTTTTAAAAAACCAATTCTTAGATTTTTACGTTTTTTTAAAAGATGATCCTATTGGATTTACCCTTTAGTGGATCTTTTAATGAACCTGAAGTTGATTTTAGAAATTATCATAAACAGTGAAAGACATTGATGTGAAAATGGGAGTTTGGGTGAAAGGGTTCCTGTAATACTACTAGAATTCAGAAGACAAAGGCAGGAGCTACTGGGCTTAGATATAGATTTCAAAATATTTAGAGAAAAAGTGCGTATGATTTTAGGAATAGAGACTGAACATTCAGAATTCTGAAAGAGCTGGAGGCTCTAAAAACCGAGAGATGACATAATTAAATAACCAGGCAAGAAAAATTCAGTTCTTTTTAACTTGACAACTTTGTGGGGTGCTAGGGGTTTGATTATTGAGACAGGATCTTGTTGTGTAGCTGCAATGCAAGATCATTCTCCCTCAGCCTTCTGAGTACAGGAATGCACCATCATGTCTTAGCTTAGAAAATGTTTTTATGTACATTTTTCTTTCACTTTTGGATGATTTCCATTAGCATACAAATATTAGACTATTTTTTTAGGAGTTGTTCAACCTCCATTTCAATCCCCATTACCCCCCCAAACAAAGAAAAAAGTCAGCCTCCCCACCAAGTCCCTAATGTGCCACCTCCCTATGTCTCTTTCTGTTACTGCAAAGCCTGTCATAAGTATTGTTTATATGGTACCTGCTGTTCTTTACACTATGAAGATCTTGATTGCTATGTGAGTGATTTTGATAAAAATATGGTGTGTTTAACTAATACATTCAGTGACAAGGTCAGGATTTCCAAGATCTCCATGTGTAGAATATCAGGCTGAAGTTAAGGAAAAAGTTCATAGAGATGAGTGTGTAATCTTGGGTGGAAAAAGAAATATTCATTGAGGCTTGTTGACAGGAGAGCAGGTTTCACTTCACATCGCTCATCAAAGCCTGTGGACTGTCCCGGACCTTGCCCAGGCTAATCTTGTGCTGTGTCTGGATCTACGGCGGTGGTGCAGAGCCTATGGCACGCATACTGCAGCAGGCACACGGGAGCCTAGTGGCTTGCGCATCAGATAACAGTGGACATTAGGGGCCACGCACATGCTAGGAAAGGAATAGAGCACGACATGCACTGCTCTCAGACTATGAAGTGTGAGCGAAGATTTGACCAATTAGCAGCATATACACAACAGTGAAGATCCCATTATTTGTGCAAAAGCACACCAAATCCATACTTTTACTTTTCCATAAAAAGCTGTGTGAATCATCAAAATCTCTACTGTGTTTTCTTGAAAGACAAAATATGTTAATGTAGAGTTATTTTTTCTAAACTAAAACCTCAGTGTTCAGGTTAATTGCAGTGTTGGCACTTTGTTATAAATAAGGGGTTGCAGTTTGGGCACTCAGTCTCCAAAAGGTTCACCATCGCTTTTCTAGGGCAAGTCCAGTCCCACTATATATAGGTTAGATACACCTTTAGTTTTTATGTTTAGTTCTAACTACAATTTTTAACAGCTGAAGAAACTACAAAACATCATTTTGAACGTTATAAAAGGGAATTCATTCACTGGAAGGAATAGACTAGTTTCTTAGCTGCCTCTCACTTAGATGTTACTATAAAATAAAAAGACAATTAAACAAATCTGCCCAAACATATGCATTAAGGAAGGTGCTCTTCTTTTCAAACCAGTCACATTGGGACAGTGTACATATATATGTACCTATTATGTAGCAGTGAAGTAATATTGTTAGCATTAGTTTTGTGAGTTTATCTTTTTGAATGATTAAAAATATCTGTACTATTTTAAATCTTTGTTTGATAGGTTTGAATTTTGATAGAATTCGAAAGTTATTTAGAGGTACTTATAGTGAATCAGGTGCTTACCCACAAAGAGTAATGAGAATTGTTTAAAAGAGACAGAGAGGAGCTATAAAGGAAGGAAACATTTTTTAATGTGCTTATGTATTCATTCTTTACATAGTTCTAGGAGAAGGCTTGTCGTTGAGTCCATGTCCACATCAGGGAGATGAATGGACAGTCTTCATGGTTAGATTTATTTGTTTTGTTTTTACGGTACTAAAGATTGAACCGAGGACCTTCACACTGAACTGCATTCCCAGCCCTTTTTAATTTTAAGGCAGGGTATTACCAAATTGCCAGGTTGGATTTGAGCTCAGAATCTTCCAGTCTGTACCTCCCAGGGTGCTGGGATTACAGATGTGTAGCACTATGCCTGGCTTTCTGGGTTACTTTTTCAAAAATATAGCAGTCTTGACCTATTTACAAGGACTGAAACTATTAAATTTATGCCATCAACATTTGTTTGTCTTATTGTCCTTAAGTATTTCATGCACTGGGTATTTATTTGTGTAAATTGTAATAGTGTGGCTCTCTTTGCTATTAGAGGCTGTTTTGAATAGAACAGAAGGAACCCTTAGCTATCAAATGAAGTGAAGCAAAAAACACTTAATAAGCTGGGGATGTAGCTCAGTGGGGTGGTGCCTGCCTGGCAAGCCTGGGGCCCTGAGTTTGATTCCCGGTACCCCCCCCCAAAAAAAAACCCTCACTTAATAAGCACATACTCTGTGCTTGTGTTGTGTTAGTCCTGTGGTATGTGCAAAAGACATGGTATGGAATTTCTGCCTGAGAAAACTTGGTGGTCTTGTTAACGAGATCAGCCCTATCTGAGTATCACAACTAGGGCATGCCACTGTAAAAAACTGCAGTATATCTTCAGTTTACACATGGATTTTGTTCTGAAGCAGGGGTCTACAAAGAGTAATATTGGGACAAAGCTATGACCATTTGTTTACATGGTGGCTTGTAGGTGCTTTCAAATTGTACCACTACAGTTAAGTGGTTTTGACAAGAGCCTAGTGAGCCTATAAACCTAAAATACTTATTCTTAGTCCCTGTAAGAAAAAATTTGGTTATCTCTGTTCTAAATCTTTATTTACACCCTAAGTTTCTATTCTATGGATAAGGATTTGATTCCTAAGTTGTCCCAAACTGAGCTCATACAAGTTGGAAAATCATGTCTTTCTTTTAGCCAAACACCTTAAACTGTACCTGGCATTATAAGTCAATCAAATATATGGTGGCATTTAATTCTGTGGTGCTTCATCTGGTAGTGAAACTGCTGGCAGTTAAGGCATGTTAACATTTATATAAGGGATGACAGTGGTTCCACTGCCTGCCTTGCAAGTGTAAGGTCCTGAGTTTGCTCTCCAGTACCAAAAAAAAAAAAAAAAAAAACCCCGCACAAGACATTGAGAGAAGAAAAATACATAAGGGAGCCTCCCATGAAGTTATCGGCAAATTTTTAAAAGGATCTGTAAGAATCTTTTTTGGTCTGTGTTTTGTATTCTGAGTAACCACTTTGAAGATAATGATACACAGTGTAATAACTATTATAGTTCTCTTATTATTTGATTATGAAACTTTATTTTTTCATAAAATAAAGGAGGTCAGAACATTAACAAAAAAGATACAGCCCAGATGTAAACAAAACATTTATGAAACAATATGCTTACTGGATCATTTACAATGTACTAATCAATTAGCATGTAAGAAAATTATTAATGTAAAAGAAGAATCTTACTGATTCCAAGTTACTTAACTTATCCCAAAATAAAACCCACCAACATTTAAAGGAGTACATCAAAATCCGGCTCCAAAAAACACAAAACGTGAAACTGACACCCCACTCCAAAATCACTAGGTTTGCAGGAAAATATGACACAATAATAAAAGAGGTTGGTTAAAAAAAGACTCCAAAATGACACAAATGAAGCATTGCAGATGAAGCTATTATACTAGCACTTATTAATATACTTCGTATGTTTAAGGAGGTCAAAGAAAACATGAACGTGAGGAGAAGAGAGTAGATTTTATTTAAAAAGATTTCTCAAGGGCTGGGGATTTAGCTCAGTGGTTCCACCGCCTGCCTTTCAAGCACAGGGACCTGAGTTTGATCCCCGGTACCAAAAAAATAAAAATAAAAAATAAAAAGATTTATCAGTTGTACATGGTGATATATGTCTGCAGTCTCAGCAATTGAGAGGCTGGGGCAGGAGGAATGGGGGTTCAAGGTCAGCTGGGACTACATAATGAGACCCTGTCTTGAAAAAAAGAAAAGAGAAAAACCTAGATTGAACTTCTGGCAATGAACTCAGCCTTGAAAATGTAGGAGTTATATCGACAGAAAAAAGAAGAGGAAATATAACAAGCAGATACTAGTTCTGCTGCCTTTTTCTTTGTAGCACTTAATATTAGAAATGATATATCCATTTTCTTTGTTTCTGGGGGCAGAGATCCTCTCGTGTCAGCTCGTGTATAGTCAATGATT